AAACCGAAGGGTTTTGATAATAAAACTAGCTTTTAAATGTAATATTGTTAAGACATACTATTGGGAGATATAGAGTTACTGATTTTTATATGCAGCTAATGCAAGTAGTCTGTTATGCTGGTATAAAAATCCAGATAAATATCAGCATCTGAACTATATTGCATATTTTTGCTCCGATTGGACCTCTAAATAAATTTGAGTTTGAAAAAAAATGTATGCATTTATTTGTTTCTTTTGCTTAAAACAAATGTCTCCTGAAAACAGGAAACGCAATATGCCAAGTGGAAAGCTGCCTGTATTTTGGCTTCCAAAGGAAAGACGATGGCCTACAGCTCGTACCGCACCGAGGTGAAGAACATCCAGTCTTTCCTGCAGATGAAGAGTCTAGCGCCTCCTCCTGGCCAGGCAGCGCCTGACGTAGAGTCCATGGAGATGAATGCTGAGTGCTTTGTGTCTCCACGATATGCAAAGAAGTACAAGACCAAACAGGTGAAAATACAGTCTGGACACACGCAGAAAAGACAAGATATGGCTTGAACCGCTCGTTTTTATTATGCCATGACGGCACTGGATATCTGAGATCTGTTTTGCATCGCTTTCCCACAAGGGGAAAACAAAATCATATTTATTCTTCTCATTTCAGCTGACCACACGAATCTTGGAGGCCCTTCACAATATTTCCCAGCTTTCCCTCATGGAGGCCAAAATGCGTTTTATCCAAGCATGGCAGTCCCTGCCTGAGTTTGGCATCAAGTACTACATTGTCAGGTAATTTTACTGAACAACTGTTTGATTTTGTGCCTAGAACAGATATTTAAGCCCGAGTAAGATTTTTGAGACCAACCATGAAATATGAGTTTTTTTGAAGCTGTGCACTAACAAAGTTCTTTTCATAGTTACGTACTTTCAAATGTCTCTCTCTCTCTCTCTCTCTCTCGCACGCATGCATGCACGCACACACACACACACACACACACACAATGCGCAGAACTCCGTATTTGAACAGTCAATAGCAAATAACAAAACAGTAGCTGATTCAGAAGTGCCAGATTATCATAGCAAAGTCAGAATTACCTCCTCTACTAGGTTCATGAAACGGTCATCCATAAAATGCATTGCTGTTTTGTTGTAAGTAAACTTAAAGATTCCTAAATGCATCTACTTTCGGAAGGCCAAATAAAGTGCTTTTGCTTTCGCCTAGAAACACACAGCGTCTCCCTGACATGCTGCTTCAACACTAACTGCGGTTACTGAAACCACGCCTTCTTTCTTTGCGTGCACATTTGGGCGGCATTATGCAAATATTCCCACATAGTGAGGTAGATATGTGGGGGTGTGTTAGAACGAGCCGTTTTAGGGGGGCGTGGCAGAGTCTTAACTTTGATAAAGAATATCTCTTTGGTTTTGAGACTTTAGTCTTTGCAACTTCAGGGATCTTATCTATGCACAATCAGCTTGTAACACTCCAAAGAGAAAGGAAAACTTGAAATCGCATCATATGACCCCTTTAATAGTGCTGCTGTTCCATTTAAAGTTGAAATGTTTTTCTATTTCATGTCATTTTGTTTTTATTTTGTATATTGACTGAAAAATATAAAAATGGCCTACATAAATACTGTCACTTTCATTACGAGACGAATTTTGGCTTTTTGCCAATTTCATACTTACGCACTGACAATTTTCTTTTACTTTTTTTTATTTTTTTTTATAAATTAGACACAAAATTGCCATATTTTCACACAGTTTTGCTGAACAACAGATTGATTTGTGCCTTGTATCACTCAGAAACATCTTTCCAAGGCTGAATATATATTAAATTTGTCAAATTTTGCATCAAACACATCATCAAAATAAAAATGAAAGATAAATTTAAAAAATGAGATTTAATAGCATGCCGTTGTTCCATTTGAAGGTTCATTTTTTTCCTATTTAATGTAATTTAGTTTGGGTATGTTGACTGAAAAATCTGAAAATAGCCTACATAAATACAGTCACTTCCTTTATGAGTCCAATTTTGGCAATTTCATAATCAACTACTGACAGTTTAGAATGCTTAAAATGGAATATACAGATAATTCACAAATGTTTTTACAAAATATAGAATTACAGAATAATTCAAATACATTGAGTATGAGTTTTCATTAATTAGACATAAAATTGTCATTTTGTCAGACAATTTTGCTGAACAACAGACTGTTTTTTGTGCCTGGTATTGCTCAGAGACATCCTTTAAAGTCAACCATGAAATATGATTACAATCTTTTCACTTTGTCCCACAGATTCAGAGGAAGCAAGAAAGACGAGCTGCTGGGAATATCCTACAACAGGCTGATCCGCATCGACATGTCTACGGGCTTGCCGGTGACCACCTGGAGGTTCTCCAACATTAAACAATGGAATGTCAACTGGGAGATTAAACAGGTGAATAAAGGGCTTCAAACAACCTTGTAACCTGTGGCTGGTGTGAATATGATTTATGAGTGTGTCATTGCTTTTACAGGTGACCATCGAGTTTGACCAGAGCGTGTCGATTGCGTTCTCCTGCCAGAGCTGCGACTGCAAAGTGGTACATGAATATATCGGAGGCTACATTTTCCTTTCGACGCGCTCAAAAGACCAAAATGAGACTTTAGATGAAGAACTCTTCCACAAGCTCACGGGAGGACAAGACTGACCTCAAATCAACAGCCACCTTTAGAAAAGCAAGAACGAATTCATAGTGTTTTTTAAATTTGCCAAAGTAATTTTATGTTTGTATTAAGACACACAAGGCTTGTGCACAAGAGAGTAAACAAATCAAACAATTCAGTCCATATTTTGGATCTGGACTCTTGACGTCTTTATGAGTTGTTTGCATCTGAACATTGTACATAATTTACAGCACACATTTCCATACATGAATTTGTGTAATAAATATGGGATACGGTGGAGTTGCAAGTTTCCCATTGCAAGATTCTTTGAAGTTGTGTACTAACAAAGTGCTTTTTACAGTTTTTCGAATGTAAATATGTTTACATTAAATGCTTCACCAAAATGTCTAGGTGCTTTTTGCTTGTTTTCTGAAAAAATTTATTTGCAGTTTAATTTTCCTTTTAAAGACTACATTTTATTTAGTTTAATGCAATTTTGCTTTCATTATGTTGACTGGAAAATCTGAAAATTGTCAAAATAAATCCAATCACTTTCATTATGAGGTCCAATTTGACTGAAATTCATAATCAAGCACTGACCATTTATCATGCTTGAAATATAATTAGCTGTTTTATTTGTTTCAACAAACCATATAGGAGTGTAATGTAGTTTTTATAGTTAGATTTTATTTTTATATTTTCTGTTTTCTTTAAATCTTAGTTTTATTCATTTTGTTGTGTTTTGTCACTTTTATCACTTTCTAAAATATGTCTATATAATTTTTATATATTTATTTTATATAATTATTGTTTCATTGGTCTATTTAGTTTATTGTAGTACTTAAATGTAAATTAAATGAAAATAAGTAACGAAAAGTATTTCTTCATGGTTTGTTTTAGTTAACTATAATAACCCTGCTATGTAGTCACTATAGTCGAACACGCACTGAATATTATTTTTTATTATAAATCAGCACTTTAGGTTTTGAATAATAGTACAGAATGGGATACAACTATATCATACATACATAAAATACGTGCAATAAATGCACTTTTATGTTGGACATATACTCATATGATAGTAACGATAACCGTAATATATCCATAGCACGTTTTTTTATTTATTTTATTTTATTTTTTTTACCTTTGTAAATACAGTGGAAGTACATAATGACATCACGTGATAATGCCGTGATATAGTCATTATACATGTTCAGATAACCATGGTAGCAGTTTTTGTTAGTATAAACCTAATGTAAAGTTCAATAGCTCATTAAAGGGGTCATATGATGCTGCTAAAAATAACATTATTTTGTGTATTTGGTGTAATGAAATGTGTTTGTGGTTTAAGGTTAACACGTTATTTTCCACATACTGTACATTATTGTTTCTCCTCTATGCCCCGCCTTTCTGAAATGCATCGATTTTTACAAAGCTCATCGGTCTGAAAAGCGAGGTGTGCTGTGATTGGCCAGCTATCCATTGCGTTGTGATTGGCTGAATACCTCAAGCGTGTGACGGAAATGTTTCGCCCCTCACATACTGTGATGCCCTGTCCGGCTGGAGCGACGAGACAAAAACATGAAAACCCATTATAAACGAGGCATTTGTTGCATATATACTGACTTATACTGTCTTTTTACGCGTCGCATTGCATCGCGCCGCATAAACATAAAACCATGTCTGCATTTGTGATCGGAGAAATGACAAACAACAAGCCCTACTCTACACTGCTCAAAACTCGCGTTTGAATCGTCAGTGGCAAATTCTTTAAATATGAAAAAGGTACTTACAGTCTGTGAGTCAGAACAGCCGGCATTGTAGTCTACTCTCCCAGGATCAGTAAACAGTCCTCCATAAAATGTGCTGCACACATCTGAATATTTGGGTTGAAGTGTTCTGGAACAGTGTTGTAAATACAACTTAACCACTGATTTCTAGTCGTGTCCATTTTTGGAAGACCAAACAAAGTAGTTTCGCTTTCACAACGAAACACAGCGTCACGCACGGCAGGCTAGAGTGTAAGTTCTGTTTAGGGCTTGAGATTTTGCATACAGTGGGATCTAAACCCTGTGACCACATTAACAGTCGAAATTAAACTTGTAACTTGCATAAAAGGTTTAATTGCTTTGAAACATCTGATTTAAAGAAACATTAATATGTAAAACGAACAAGAAGTATTACATTCTGCACTGTTTCTGTATCTGCAAACGGAAGGAGTGACAAATATTAAGACTTATATTCGGTGTGTGTGTGTGTTCTCTGCTGTGTGTGCGCACTTTGGATGGGTAAATGCAGAGCACTAATTCCGAGTATGGGTCACCATACTTGGCCACATATCATGTCACTTCACAATTTGTGCTGTTATTCATGAAGGTTTTTAGGTGTTCGTATGTCGTTACAAGTAAATTTTGCTCACATGTCCATTCATGCGTGTTTAAGGAGATTGTCCAGCAGCTCATAGACAACAGTACAACATTCAAGGACAAAACTGAATTTGCTCAAGAGAAATACATCAAGAAGAAAAAGAAAAAGTGAGTTCAAACCACTTTTAATTCATATTTTGTCAATCCCATGGAATATATCACTGTCAACAAGTTCTTTGCCTTTGTGTACAGGTACGAGAGTGACATAACAATCCTAAAGCCCTCCACTCGACTCCTTGCCATGATGTACCACGGCAGAGAACCAGGGAAAATATGGCACGTGAACCTAAAGGAATACTTTAACCCTTTAACTGTCACCCGTCCCCTCTGTGGGACGCCTAAGTTTACTTCACTATATTACAATTAAATCCTAATCTAATCATGACAAACTATATATCGTTGGAAAGGTCTAAGACTCCTAAATAGATATTTTACCAATGTTTTTGTTAAAAATGATGTAGGAAAAGTAGTGCACCTCAAAAATCTACATCATAACAGGAGTTCTGACCTTTGTCAAAAAAAGTCGTCTTTGTTGCCTTTTATCACACTTTAGAAATCATCAGAAATTACATATCAGTTGAAAACTTTAAATCTCAAAATTCATCCTTTGAAACCCATTTTAAAATCAAACATCAATATCATGTTACAAAATGTTTTCGTTCATGAATTATAAAAATGTAAGTTTGGATCGTGCACTTTCATGTCTATGTTCAAAAATGTGAGTGACAGCTAAGGGGTTAACCATTTACTCATCCTCATGACGTTTTAGAACCCATGAGTTACCTGATATAATTACATAGTTTATTATTTAGCGAAGTATTCTTTTAAGGATTCTTTTCTGTAAGGACACTCAATATATATATATATATATATATATATATATATATACACAGTGGGTACGGAAAGTATTCAGACCCCCTTAAATTTTTCCCACTATATATATATATATTGAGTGTCCTTAAAAGAATACTTTTTAGCTTAATAATAGTTTATTATTTAGCAAAGTATTCTTTTAAGGACACTCAATATATATATATATATATATTAGTAGTAAAGGGACTTCATAAAAAAAAAATTTTCATCTGAATCCCTCTGACCTAAAAATTTACTTGAAGATTTTAGGTTAATATTTTACTGGGTTCTAAACATATTTGAATTCTCCATTTTTTAAAATTATTATTTATATACATTATTATTTATTTACAGTATATACTATGTATTAATATTTTGAATTTTGTTTTCATTCTGTTGGTTTCATTTTTGCTTGTTTTAGTGCGTTTGTAAGTACTTTTTTTATATTTATTTGTAGCTTTAATTAATTTTTATTTCTATTTTAGTGCTTCAACTTATTTTATTTCAGTCAGCTGCCAAAATAAATGCATTTTTATTAAAATTTATATATTATTTCAACTTTATTTCAATTAATTAAAAAATGTTTTGATTAAGTTTAATTACGTTTTAGTTAGCATTAACAACACTGCGCCTCTCTGATGTTGGTTAATGGTCAAATCACATGCAAGTAAATATGTGATCTTTCTTCAAAAAAGGAAAAGAGTTTTATTTTGATTGTTTTTACTTTAAAATTATTTTTAAAATTTTTTAAATTTTCCAGTTTGGGAAACACTGTTCTAGTACGTCTAAAAGTCTAAATATTGTATTGTACAATACTATTATAAAGTGTTGTAAATGTTTTTCCTCTGTTTTAGTCACCTGCGGTACGACACATTGGCTCAGATTTTGACTCTGGGGAACATCCACGCTGGCAGTAAAATCATTGTTTTTGAGACCTGTGCTGGACTTGTGTTGGGCTCGGTGATGGAGAGAATGGGAGGTGATCACACTTTATTTGCAAAAATGAGAATTCTGTCGTTTACTCACCCTCAAGTTGCTCCAAACCTGTATGAGTTTCTTTCTCCTGTTTAACACAAGAAGATATTTTGGAGAATATGGGTAATTAAACGGTTGATGACTTCCATAGTATAAAAAAAAATTGTTGGGGAGTGAGGACAATCAAATGTTTGGTTACCCACATTTCCAAAAACTTGTATTAGTCAAACACTATTACACTGTACTGATGATCCAGATGTTTCTGTTTGTCAGGTTATGGCTCAGTTATTCAGATGTATCCCGGTGGAGGCCCAACGAGAGCCGGCATGGAGAGCTTCGGCTTTCCGTCTCACTTCCACGAGACGCTGCATGAATTCCCTTTATGCAAAGTTAACGCTCTGTTGGCGGGAACCCTGGATCTGTCAGAGAAGGATGCGGACTCTCAGGCCACTGGCAGCGGGAACGGACGATCCGAGTCCTCTCAGGAAACCTCAGGTGTGTCTGAGGAGAAGAACACCGAACCTCAGAGCATGGAGGTCAGCGTCGACCCGCAAGAGGAAATGAGGAGAGCGGAGAGAGAAAGACTGCGAGAGCAGAGGGTAAGGTTTTTCACATGATTTTTACATGCATATTTCCCATCATGGTTGAGTGTTTCTGGAACTACTTTATGTCCCAAGGGTTGAATCATTATTAATTTTTTAAAATAAATTATATTAACTTTTTCCATGCCTTCATCATTTACCTTTGCTGCTTTTGCTTTTATTGTTGTCTAAGACCAAACCTTTTTTAAATGATTTAGAAATAGTTCTAAATATTAATTATCACTAGTTCAAAAAAAATAATAATTATATGGTAATTTAAACAAAAAGCTAAATAAGCACAAACTATTTAAAAATGTATTATATTTGTCAAAGATCTAAACTTATCATTATACAATATGAATTTAATTTAAGTAATTCTAAATAATGATTATAACTTTAAAAAGTTTTTTAAATTTAAACAGATAAACAAACTATTTTGGTCCTAGACCAAAATGTTACTTTTTAAAATTAAAATGTAACTTAAATAACTTTAAATATAATTATATATTATTTAAAAAAAAACATGTCCATTTAAAGAAAAGCTAAAAAACACAGACTATTTAAAGTTCTTTGTATTTGATCAAAGCCCGAAACTTTCCATTTTAAATTATTCATATAATTTAAATAATTATAAATATATTTAAAATCATTTAAACAGCTGAATGACCACAAACTTAAAAAAAAAAAAGTATATTTTTAAAATGTGTTATTCTGTAACCAAATTATAACTGTCCCTCAGTTTTGGTGTCATTTTCACGATGATAAAACATTTTGCCCTTTTGAGTGTTTTCAAAAGTCTACTTGGTTTCCAAGGAGACAGGAGTTTAAAAGAAGAGCAGCTTGAGGTGAAGTGTGTGAAAGGAGATGTGTGAAGACAACAAAACATGCAAAAACAGACTTCTTGTTAGATGCCTCTATATACACTACTTGTATGGCAAGCCCTTTTGACTTTTATTCATTCTCAGGATATGAATTCTTGATATCAACAATTCAATTTTTACTAGTTAAAATGTTCATTCTTGATATCAGGAATTAGATTTCTACTAGTAACAATTGCTATTTTTGATATCAGCAACTACATTTTCACTAGTAACAATGTTAATTCTTGATATCAACAATTACTTTTCAACTAGTAAAAACTATAATTCTTGATATCTGCAAAATAGCCATTGTTACTAGTAGAAATCCAATTCCTGCTATCAAGAATGAACATTTTAACTAGTGAAAATGTAATTGTTGATATCAAGAACTCATATCCTGAGAATGAATAAAAGTCAAAACGGCTTGCCTATTGCCATTCTCAGGATATAAATTATTGATATCAAGAATAATATTTTTTACTAGTAGAAATTAAATTGCAGATATCAAGAATTATAGTTTTTACTAGTTGAAAAGTAATTGTTGATATCAAGAATTAACATTGTTACTAGTGGAAATGTAGTTGCTGATATCAAAAATAGCAATTGTTACTAGTAGAAATCTAATTCCTGATATCAAGAATGAACATTTTAACTAGTAAAAATTGAATTGTTGATATCAAGAATTCATATCCTGAGAATGAATAAAAGTCAAAAGGGCTTGCCATACTACTTGTTTGTGGGATAATGTAACTACTCCGGGTGGAAACGGTCGTCTTTTAAGAATTTTTCTAAAGTTTTACATTAATATTTGATTGGTCTTTCTAAACTTCCAGGCTCGAGAGAAAAAGGTGAAGATGGAGGAGAAGAGGAAGAAGTTAGCTTCAGCTGCTGCTCTGTTAGAGGGCAGAAATGCAGATGGGTATGTTTTGTTGCTTTCTGTTATATAGCAAAAAGAGCTTTGCTAAAAATGAGCTTTGCTGTGACATGTGAATTTCCCTTTGGGATTAATAAAGTCAATCAATCAATATTTTGTATTGATTTAAGCTGTTTTGTATGCAGTCTTCCAGTGATTTACCTAATTAATATGGGGAGGCTGATTGAAATATTTATTTGTTTCAGGTTGGTGATTGCTAGTCGCTTCCACCCCTGTCCTGTGTTAATGGGTCTGCTGAAGTTCGTAGCACCATCACGACCGTTCGTAGTGTACTGTCAGTACAGAGAGGTAAACGGATTGGTTTGTTGTTAAAGAGGCAGTTCATCTAAACATGTTATTTAGCAATATGTCAAAATGCCAGTTGTTGTAATGTCAAGTTCCCAGAAAGCCTAAAAAGTACCATAAATTATGGGGCGTTGTCGCTTTAAAACGATTTGTATGTTTAAGTCAAGTGTTTTAATAACTGTTTCCTGCTATATTTACTGTCTGATCTCTTTTGGACAGCCGCTGATTGAGTGCTACACAAAACTCCGGGAACAAGGAGGAGCAATCAGTCTCAGATTAACAGATTCCTGGCTCAGGCATTACCAGGTAATTCTTTACTACATCCCTGTACACACATAGTTGTATGTATTATTGTTCGTGCTATATTTTCGTTTTTTTTACATGGGGTGTTTCATAAGGTGTTTTTGCTCTAATGCCAGACTTTGATTTGCTGTTATTCTTTTTATTTACACTACTATTCAAGTACTCTTTTTTTTTTTTTTTTTTTTTTTTTTTAGAAGTTAATACTTTTATTAATCAAGTATGCATTCATTTGATGAAAAGACAGCAAGACTTTTATGCTGTTACAAAAAATTCTTAAATTAAATGTTGCTCTTTTGAACTTAATATTAATCCTGAAAAAATGTATGACTCTTCACAAAATTGCAGCACAGCAGCTTTGTATTCAGCTTTGTATCACACAAATAAACTACATTTTAAAATATATTAAATAGAAAACAGTTATTTTAAATTGTAGTAATATTTCACAATATTACTGTATTTTTGTTCAAATAAATGCAGCCTTGGTGAGCATAAACCTTAAAAATAATAACAAAACATTTGAACGTTAGTGTACATCAAGTTCAAAATACAAAAAATTTTAATTTATTATTTTAATTGTCTACTGTTATATAAGATGACTCATGCTGTGAAATAAGATTTTGGTCATACCCCCCCCCCCTAGAAGGCTTCGTCTTAATCTCCCTTTTTTATAAATTTTTTTTTTTTTTTTTTTTTTTTTTTTTTAGAAGTTAATACTTTTATTAATCAAGTATGCATTCATTTGATGAAAAGACAGCAAGACTTTTATGCTGTTACAAAAAATTCTTAAATTAAATGTTGCTCTTTTGAACTTAATATTAATCCTGAAAAAATGTATGACTCTTCACAAAATTGCAGCACAGCAGCTTTGTATTCAGCTTTGTATCACACAAATAAACTACATTTTAAAATATATTAAATAGAAAACAGTTATTTTAAATTGTAGTAATATTTCACAATATTACTGTATTTTTGTTCAAATAAATGCAGCCTTGGTGAGCATAAACCTTAAAAATAATAATAATAACAAAACATTTGAACGTTAGTGTACATCAAGTTCAAAATACAAAAAATTTAAATTTATTATTTTAATTGTCTCCGTTTTTTATTTTTTGCATTGGCACAGTTATGTGTAAACCTTTTTTGTTGTATTTCCAGGAAATACAGATACATTGTGATATAATTACTGTTATATAAGATGACTCATGCTGTGAAATAAGATTTTGGTCCTACCACCCACCCCTAGAAGGCTTCGACTTAATCACTTCTGTATCATTGTTTCAGGTGTTGCCCAACCGGACTCATCCAGTGCTGCTCATGAGTGGAGGTGGAGGGTATCTCCTGTCCGGAACCACGGTCGCTGCAGACGCTGCCAAAGCTAGGAATCAGCACAAATCAGAGGAGCCTGTTGCCAAGAGGCTGAAACTGGATAAGATTAGTTCATCATGTGACAGCTCTGCCTAGGCAATTAGTTTAGGTTAACTTAAGTGAGAAGAAACCAAATCAGTGTTGGACTCACACATGCAGGCAGTGCTTTATTCTCTACGAGTTGCACGACTTTATTATTCAAAGTCTGTTATCTACTGTGTTTATTTCTTTTTGACAAGATTTGCATTTAAGAGTTACATCAATGTTCTCATCTTTATTTATTTATTTTTTTTAGCAAGATGTGGAGGAAGGAAAACATGCGCTGCATTTTCGGCATCCTCTGCACTTGGCGAATAACCAAGTTTCAATAATAATTATTTTTTAAATAAATTTCAGAAGGCATCCAGCATCAACACAAATGATAACCACATTCATCAGCTTTGGTCCCATAATTACACATTTTATTAAATGTAAACAATGCAGAGATTCTATGGACCGCCATAAAGAACAACAACAATTTTTAAACATACTGCATTTTTCACAGTTGTAAAGTAGCATGCTCTTAAATGCATTCAAATTTAAATGCATTTAAATGCCCAGTACGTGGGCATTTAGTTCTTTTAGGTTTTTTTTTTTTAAGAATATTTTAGGATGTAATAAAGAGAGAAATGATTCACATGGTATTATCAAGCTTATTTTGCCTTTTATAGACCGTTTTGTTTCTCAGACTCTAATATTAAACACGGACTTACACCAATAACAATATTCTAATGCAGTTGTAATCAGGTACGACATATAGTAATGCATTCATCTAAAGCAGCCAAAGCACACACAAAGCTCATGGAAAATCAAATCAGGCAGTGCAAGAAAATGATGGCTCAGATGGTTCTAGGAATGGTTAAGTTGTCTCTTTCATCTGTTGATCCACAGAGGCCAGTTTCTCAAGTTCTTTTAACTGAAAGAAAGAACAAGAATTAAATGCAGTACTTATGTTTCAAAACTCTTTTAAGTGATGCTTAAAAACTATTGCTTTAATCAGTCCCTGGAGTTTTGTGTGTATGCGCATTTTGCGCAATCATTGCAGTCTGCCATAAAGTTGTTTCTTTATGAATGAAAAAAATGTTGTTGCTCTAGTGAAATATACTATTTCCACATTCCCAGTAGGAAAGTTATAGGGAAGTACCTTTAGTTATTCAATATCCCTGCCATGTTGAGGATGATGCTCTTAGCATCCTGAGTTTATCCCTGTACACCCTTAAGTAAATGCAGTATTACTTTGTAATTTGCAGGCATATCAGATAACTCCGATATCCTTGTAATAGCACAGCATTTGGCTTAAGTAGTCACTGTAGAGACATTGATGCTGGAATGTTATTGCCAATTTTTGGTGCAGCTAAAGTTCCATGTAGTAAAGAACTGAAAGGAGTTACAGTCTACCCACATCCTTTCTTAGTCATGCAACTTATGCATGTTGAAGTCTAGCAAGCAGAGATACGTAAAAGCTACTTAAAGTGAAAAATCTGGCATCATTTTCAGGAGCTCCATGAAGCAAGTCTTGATTGTGTTGATATCGTTTATTACTTGCAATGCATCCCTGTCTTGTCCTAAATGACTTGGGTCAGTGAATGCTTTTTTATTTCCATTTGTAATATAGCATGTAGACTTTGTGTGGCCATTTGTTAAATTGGGGTTGTGAAACCTAGTGCAGAGGTCTTCAACCCTGTTCCTGGAGTCCCACTGTCCTGCAGAGTTTAGATACATTCCCAAGGTTTCCCCAACAGTACACATTTTGGATATCTCTTATTTGACACACCCATTCCAGGACTTGCCATCTCCACAAACAAGTTTATGAGTTGAATCAGAATAGGGAGACACCAAAAATGTGTGTACTGTCAGACAAAATGTGCAAAAAACTTTATCTTTAGGGGTACAACAACTTGTCACTGGGGCAGTAACCTTAACGGGACATATTTATATTTTATTTATCCTAAAAGGTACATATTAATACCTTGCAGTAATATGGACCCTTAAGGTAGTACTATGACCCTTTTAGGGGTACGAAGATGTCCCTTTAAGGGCACTGCCCAATATGATATGCTGTTGAAGCCCTGAAGATAAAATTTTTGCACATTTTTGCTGGGAGTCTATTGTTAAGGGGCCTTCAAGAACAGGGTTGGGAACCATTGGCCTAGCGGTTAAAGGTCTTATGGTTTCAGACCTAACAAGTGGTAATACATTAAGTATTAACCTTAAGAAAGACTTGTAACCTCTGGTAACTCTCAGGAGACGATACTGGTAATAAATGTACTGTCACTTGTACAGATCAGACTATACCTCCTCTGGTGTGATAAGCTTCTGTTGGGGGACACCCTTTTCCTCCTCGGGTGACTCCTCCTGTGTAAGCAGGCCTCTTTTGTACCGGAGAGTCTCAGCAAAGTCCTCTAGTTTATGGTAGGGGTGCTGGTCAGTACTTTCATCCACCTTATGGCCTCTCTTGTACCAGGCTGGATGGTAGTATCCTCTGTAAATCCACGGGGAACGCTTCTCATAGATGTCACCTTTGTTAAGTAGACGTTCCTGTAACTCATTCTTCTTTTTTGTTAGGTACCTCAACGCAGCCTCCCTGTCCTGCTTCTCCTCTGCAGAACTCTGGTGTCCTTTCTTCAGCTCATCTTCCTCCTCTTGGCTGGTTAAGTGATGCCTCTTTTCATTAAGCTCATAAACAATCTCTTCTTCCTCTTCAGGTGAATGGCGCTTGAGGGCATTGTCTGTTGAGTCATGGAGACTGTGAGTCTTCTCTGAGATGGGTTCATCTTCATCCTTGAGCTCTGTTGAGTCGCCACGCTTGTGATGAAGCTTCTTATGGTGATATCTGTGTGTAGGCTTCCAGATCCTTTTATCCATTTCCTCACTTTCCTCTGAGTCCTCATACCTTTTTTTCAGGGGTCTTTCCTCATAATCCTCTTCAGATGAGTCCCGTTTGTGGTGCTTCTTATGGTGGTATCTATGGGTGGGTTTCCAGTATCGCTTTGTGGTACCCTCGTCTACCTCTTCTGATTCTTCAGACCTCTCTTCCCGTGAGTTTAAGTCCTCATTAATATGCTTGTTCAGCAGGTCTTCATTTGGTTTGTAGTGCCTGCCATCCCCATGGCTCCTTTTTTGGCTGAAGCTTGGGAAGTCTTCTTGACTTCTGTCATAGTCTGGTTCTTCGAAATCCTCATTCTCACTGCGTTTGTGGTGCTTTTTCTTGTGGTGGTATCTATGTGATGGTTTCCAGATCCGCTTCTCTCTTTCCTCACTCTCCTCATCCTCTTCTTCTCCATCCCCATGGTTTCTTTTGTGGGTGTAACTTGGGAAAAATTCTTGGCTTCTATCATAGTCCGGCTCTTCACGTTTTTCTCTGCTGGTCAGAAGACGACTCCTTTTATATTCATATAGAGGGAATTCCTCCTGGCTGCGCTCCTCATCGGGATTATCACGCTTGTAAAGGACAGAAAAATGTCTTTTCTGGGGAAATTCCTCTTGGCTTCTCTCATCGTCGGGATCTTCCCTTTTATGCTTGTTGCCTCTTTTATAGAAACTTGGGAACTCTTCCTGGCTCCGTTCATGATCCAGTTCATCACGTTTTTCTTTGATTCTTCTTTTCATAAAACTTGGGAACTCTTCCTGGCTTCGTTCATCATCCAGTTCGTTGCGTTTTTCTTTGATTCTTCTTTTCATAAAACTTGGGAACTCTTCCTGGCTTCGTTCATCATCCAGTTCGTTGCGTTTTTCTTTGATTCTTCTTTTCATAAAACTTGGGAACTCTTCCTGGCTTCGTTCATCATTCAGTTCATCACGTTTTTCGTGGATTCTTCGTTTCATAAAACTTGGGAACGCTTCCTGGCTTCGTTCATCATCCAGTTCATCACGTTTTTCTTTGATTCTTCTTTTCATAAAACTTGGGAACTCTTCCTGGCTTCGTTCATCATCCAGTTCATCACGTTTTTCATAGATTCTTCGTTTCATAAAACTTGAGAACTCTTCCTGGCTACGTTCGTCATCCATTTCCTCACGCCTGTCTTTGATTGTTCTTTTAAAAAAATTTGGGAACTCTTCCTGGCTCCGTTCGTCATCCAGCTCCTCCCGTTTGTTAGCTTTGAGAAGATCCTCAATGAGTTCCTCCTTGACTTTAGACTCTCCTCTTGGCTTTTTAATCTCCTCTTGAACTGGTTCTAGAGTGTCTTCCTCCTTTTTCACAACTGATGAATGACCTGATCCTAAATTCATGGAGAGATTAAAATTGGCACAAAACACTCATGCAAATGATTTGTAAATCATTTTCACTCCATTGCTTATGCATTGCATGAAAACATCAAATTATTCCACAGTCTTGGAGTGAAAGCACTGACCCGAAACTGTCTCATCCACCAAGCACGATGTACTGAGGTTAGAAACTGTGACAATGATGTAGTCTGACTGTTATCAAGTTATATGCCCAAATTATACATTTAATGGATTTAGATGTAAGATCAAACGGAGTTGTGCAAGAATAACCTGAATAAGAATTCTCCAATTAAGTTGTTAACAAATAAATGAAACGTTCTCCTCAATAACACAATGAAGCAACACAGTGTGAACAGTGCAAAGTAACGTACCTGGTGTAAGGATGTTTTTGCATTCTGGATGCAGCGGAGTATCATTGGTCTTATACAGTGCCTTTGAAAGGATGTGAACTAAACACTGGGTAAGCTGAAATTAAAGTACATACTTTAACCAAAAGGAGTAAAACAATAAATGCATTGTTTTTTTTCTTACGGACATAGAAGCTACAGCATACCAGGTCCTCTCTTTGGCTGTCCTGCTCGACTGGCATGGACTCTCCATCTGGGATAGTAAAAGCCTTGAATTATATTTGTGCAAATCACAATGTAAAAGCTTATTCATCTCGATATCACCAATTATCCATACGTTTTACTCGTGTAAAACCCGCTTAAAGCAAACTCCCCTTGTGATCTTCTATTTATTCCGCAGCAAACGGTCTTGTCGCTGACCATGGTGCTGAAATGATTTATTCAATGATTCTTTGTGTACATTCAGATTATTTCACTTACCTGCAGCGAAGAAAACAACCAAGCAGATTAAAGCCGCAAACTTCATGATGCACACTGATGTTTTCTGCTCTTGTTGTTATCCGGAACGGCTCTTGTCTTTGCAGTCTTAAGCAGCAGAGAGGAGCTCTGTTTCTCGTGCTGCAGCTCAGAGCGCGCGCTGCGTCTGTTTTGAGCTCGCGGTGGGACACGCAGGGTCTGAGCTCGTGAGTTTGTGGGTTGCTTACGTCACGACCAATGTGAACCCTTAATGAGACTTTAATTAAATTTTCTGATTTGTGATGTCGGTGCATTTATTATTATTTTGTATTCATATTCAGCTTATCGCCTTCCAGCCCAAGATTTTTAGCCTATGTGTCGAGTTACATAAAACAGTATAGAGTATATAAGTGTGAAAACTAACCCTGGTCTTCCCTATATATTTTGTGACTTATTTTATAAATCTCATGTGTCCCTTCCAGTCATACGTGATCTTGTGTATTACAAAGAAAAATACAATACCAGCAACTCAATAAGAAGTCATTAAATTCCTGCAAGATCCTGCAGTACTATATTATTAATTCAATTAATTGTTCATCCTATCTAAATAATGCTTATTGTAAATTATTGTAGGCTTTATAATTGAATAAACAGACTCCTATGAAATCGGACAGAATGCTGTGCAACTCTCAGATGCCCACTTCGTTCATGGTTGATGTGTGTCGTGAGGGAATTGTGAAACTGCAAACTAATGTTTGGTACAGGTGCTCTGAGTTTCAGCAGAAGGATTGCACCTGGGATGCTGTAGTTGCTGTGGTAACGGAACCGTCACGGGGCAGTCGGAGTTTTTAAGAGCTGCAGAATGTTAAACGAGAGGCTTTGATTTATCATCCACTCAAACAGAACAAGGGAAGGGCCACATTTCAGTCTTGTCAAAACCAGACAAGGGCACTAGTGACGATGTTTTCTGGTTCACGAGTGAGAAGGAGCAGTAATTTGCCATTAAATTTTCATGTGACAATTCAATTAAGTAACGGACAGTAGGTGTAATCAGGCACGTGCAGAGGGTGCTTGAGCACCTGCCCCTTTTCCCCTTGATGCCCAAAGTGCCCTTTTGTCGAGACAAATTTTTTTTTTGTAATTAAATGCCATTTTGTGAAGGCCTGCCCAATCTAACTATTAGTAAAGTGAATGAATAATAATTTAGTCGTAAATAAAATATAAAATTATCCACATGATGATGACCTTTCACCTGACGATCTCATCCGGGACGATCCCTCACGTTATCTGAACTTAATTTTTTTTTACCTTATTTTGTAGTCTTATAAAAAAAAAATGTTTTATCAATTTAACTGCATATTTATTGAACTACATATTTTCCATATCATCTCTTCTTAGTGTTGACTATAGTCACTATTAAAGTTTGTCTTTCATTTTCTTAATGCCTCTAGTGCTTTAGGATGTTTTGTGCTGATTATAACAGTTTGTACACAATATAGGCTAATTATTCACCTTAGAGTTTAGTCATTCACTGTTACATTTATCACAGTACATTTGTAGTTATCAAGTGTGGGTGTTAGAGATTTAACACCTTTTGTGTATTTCTAGTTTTATTGTATATGAATTAACATTTAATTGACACCGATAACGACTATAAAGATGTATAATTTCAGATGTTTAAACATTCTCAATCAAAAACTCAAAGCTGTTTCTTATGAGTACTAACCTTGCTGTTTGGCATTGCACTTGGCATATGAGATATCTGACTGAGCTATTATACTGTCAGTTATGAGGCTGGCTCTGAGAAGCATTGATAAATGTCTTTTAATTAAAAGACAGCATAATGAGTCTCTTGAATAAATGAGTGATTGCATAGCCCTGTCTCACCATAAACTAATGGATTTCAACATGCACTATTGATTTGTTATAAACCAGAACACGAAGCAAGTAATATCTGTAGCATCCCGGTATTTATCACATTTATTGTCATATCTCTCTCTCCCTCCCCGGGGAAATCGGACGCTCTGGCACGCTTGGAAAAAGAAAACACAACGTATCCATCATGCTTGTGAAGCTCGAATGCAATGAATTATACAGACATCTTGCCTCTAAAGCCGAAATCCCTGTTCATAATTTATTGAGTCAAAAAAAGAGTGAAGCTTTTAGAGTCATCGCTGCGCATATGTAGACACGATAAACAGGGAGAATAAGATGCAGGGTGCAAAGTGTACCTAGTACATACTAGCTGATTTACTAATTGAGTTGAGCTCAGATGGGTCCCCAGAATATTATCAGGTTTGTTTGGCTTTAATCAAAGTCATTTGCATGCAGAAACAAAAGATGGTGGCTAGCAGAAGAGTCTGCACTTTGAGGGCTTTACTGGCTTTGATCTCCTTTTTGGATACTCGGCATCATAAAACAAGCTATATTGCTGAATTTATATTGAATATCGCTGGTGGTCTGAGGTTGTATAGTGAATATATTGTGTGACAGCTTCCTCGTGAAATTCCAAAGCGCTTTGTCAGCATGCACACAGCATATATGTCAGATATTATATGTCACAGTCTATAAAACAGTATGGCACAGAAATAGCTCCTGTTCTCTTATATTGTACATGCACTCACTTTCTTATGCTAAAATGCTATATGAGCATTAATTAGTTAGTCACTAAACTTAGGCCTACTTTCTTCCATATCGGTGTATATGCCCATAATTAATCTAACTGATACAATATATGGTAAAATCAGTTCTTTCACAGTCCAAGAATAAATCTATTCGCTCTCTATTTCTAAAGGAAGTTGCCGCTAAGTCTTGCTCTGCTTATTGGTCCAAATTTGTTAATAATCTTAAGTGGGAAAGTCTTTGGTTATTGCCTCACAAGTTTTTTGTTACAAACAAAGTAAAAGAAATCTCTTTCAAAATAATTCATATACTCTATCCTGTTAAACATTTTCTCAGTAAGTTTAAGAAGGATATTGATGTAGCTCTTTGCACCTGGAAACAGTCCCCCACATTTTCTGTCATTTTAGTTATGTGAAAAAGTTATGGTATGATGTCTCTGTTTATCAAAGAAAAGGTACTCTTTCCACATTCATAGTTTTCTAACAAAAAGCGCTGTTTTACAGTGGTTTGTAAAGAATTGGAAAACTATTTTTGAACTATTCAATATAGTACAAATAGAAAGGCAAATAAAACGGTCCACTTGTGTTCTATCTTCAAAATCTTTGAGTGATATAAAGGTCCTGCATGTCTGTGATTGTAATTTCTTTCTTTCTTTTTTTTCTCTTCTCTCCGTTGTTCCCCTGGCTTCATAATGTCGTACTGTTTTTGTTTTTGTCATTTAAAGCATAACAAAAACGTACATTCTTCCAAAACAGATGTTTGGGAATGAAAACCGAAGCCATTGGCCTTATTAGAAATCAGTGTGCTATCATAATGAACTTGCATTTCAAGGTAAAAAAAAACAAAAAAACTTGCATATTCATATTTTATCACAAACTGCTTCAGCTATGACACTTGCAAAATATTACAATACTGTATTTGTTGGTTTTAACTTGGTTATTCATGGATTCACAATATCAAATATATTTCATGCACCCTCGGGCATATATTTATATTAGACACACAGATCATTTTATTATTGATGGTCTCTGGTCTACATCAGACGGATATCCAACAAACAAAGAAATAGGGTAATATTAGGTAAAGGAAATCGTGACCACAACAGGTTTTTGAGGAGTTTAGGTGTTTTGAAGGGTGTATAGTGTCTGTTATAGTACAAGCAGTGCTGCAGTGAAAGTGCTACTCTTTTTTGCATTCAATGATGAGAAGCTACTGTGTTCATCTGGGACGGCATCATCTCTCTTGTCCCATAACACACAAATATAGCATCCTTTTAACATAGATCAGGACATCATCAGATGTCCCTGCCAGACCCATAACTTGAATTAAACCTTGATATATTTTGTAAAGTGCATCTAAAGATATAGATGTAAATGGCAATTACTTACTACACCTTTCAGAACTGACTTTTTGTACTATAAGAATATATACTACCATTTTCAATGTTTCAAAGAAGTGTCTAATACCTAATCTGCCTTTATTTGACCAAGAATACAGTAAAACAGTACCATATAATATTATTAATACCGGTTTTCTACTTGAATGTATTTTAAAATGTTTATGTGATGCAAAGCTGAATTTCCAGCATCATTACTCCAATCTTCAGTGTCACATTCTTCAGAAATCATTCTAATATGCTGCTTAAGAAACATTTCTGATTATTGTCAATGTTGAAAACAGTTGTGCTGCTTCATATTTTTGTGGAAACCGTGACTCGTGTTTTCTTTGACGAATAGAACGTTCAAAAGAACAGCATTCATTTGAAATAGGCTATGCTTTTTTTGTGTAATAATTTACAAGTCTTTACTGTCATGTTTGATCAATTCAAAGCATTCTTGCTGAAAAAAATATTGATTTATTAAACAAAAAACTGTTTACAGTAGTATTTGAATTAGGTTGATCATGCAGGTAATTGTATGTGTTTATTGATGTACCACAGAAACTGATCTGAGAAATACATACTTGTGTGTGAGAGTTGAAGCATTCAATGACTACACTCTTAAAAATAAAGGTGCTTCAAAAGGTTCTTCAAGCGATGCCATAGAAGAACCATTTTTGGTTCCACAAAGAACCATTCAGTCAAAGGTTCTTTAAAGGACCATCTCCTTCTTAACTTTTTATAATCTGAAGAACCTTCTTTCGCCACAAAGAACCTTTTGTGAAACAGAAAGGTTCTTCAGATGTTAAAGGTTCTTTATGGAACCATTTAGACAAAAAGGTTCTTCTATGGCATCGTGAAGCACCTTTATTTTTAAGAGTGTACAATAGAGAAACTGAAGTAGACAGTAAAAGTGCTCAGTAGAGAAGTCATTCTCCCTTTACCCACTGAAATCACTTTTATATTTCATCCAAGACACAGGCAGCAGTTTCAGGTCAACACAGCAAACTTACTTTGGTGCAGTATGTGAGCATCTGGAGAGAAAGACTCGAGCTGTCTGTAATAGTGTGTGGAGGGTTTATTGAATAGAAATGTTGACACTTGGGAACAAAAGGTCCATGAAGTGGGAGCAAAAACTCTCCAAAAGTGGGAGAGTTATGGATCCAGACATATCCAAAGGGGTAAATTAATACTGCAAATAAATGGTTCATTTGTGGACTAGAACAAAATACTGCTAATAATAATGTTTAAATCTAAAACTTTATAAATTAATTCAACTTCAAATAACAGGGCAAAATGTTAGTAAAATAAAAAAGCAATCTCTCTCAAAAATACAATATATTAAAAACGTATATAAATATAAAATAAAAATATATAGATTAAAAAAAACTTTGTTTTAAAACTGTGACAATATCCAGAAATCTTTCAAAAGTCTTTATAGGTCAGAATCTTATAGTTTTACTTTTTCAGCAGAGATGACTAAGTACCAATCCATCATTAAAAATGGAATCCCTGACATTTTTATTCAGGTACTTATATTATTATTCACAGCAGACTTGCATGTTATCAGCACACTGACAAGGCAATGTATCACCATAATAAGTGCAATAAACTACTTTATACAATAAAATGCTTAATATTTTTGCTAAACAACTTCTTTCAGTCGATTTTCTATATTTTGAGTCAATGCTCATGTCTATAATCAACACAAATATGTGAATAACATTTTTGTAGGGAAAATTCAAATATTAAATATTTTGCAGCACTGATAATAAATCAGCATATTAGAATGATTTCTGAAGGATCATGTGACACTGAAGACTGGAGTAATGATGCTGAAAATGCAGCTTTGCATCACAGGAATAAATTAGATTTTAATGTATATTAAAATAGAAAAACTTTATTTTACATCGTAATAATATTTCACAATATTACATTTTTTTATGGTAGTATATATATATTGTGCGTTATCATTTTTATATTTTAAAATATTATTGTGCTTTATCATTCTTATATTTTAAAATATTTTAAAACGTCTAAATAAAGTTTTACCTCAAGTTTAACTAAATGAAAATATGACATGTT